TCATTGACAACTAAATCCGTCTCGCGTCGCACCGCAGCTCCGAACCGGGCGCTTGGGGGCGGCTACGCTAATCCACGTCGGCGTCGCTACGAAACCGTCGAGGTGCTTCGACACTTCGACGGTCGTACCGATCAGTCGCCGAGCCCGAACCCACCCTCCCAAACGCGCTCCGCTCCCGCGAGAGCTCACTGTGAGGGAGTCTTCAAACCAATTTTCTCGGCGATCCTCGACGCGTCCCTCTTGACGGCCTTCGCAGCCTCTATCCCCACCTCCTTCAATCCTTGCGCCGTTTCCTTCGTCTTCTCTGGGATGTCCTTCGTCATGTCCTTCGCGGTGTCCATCTCCCTGTTCACCGCGTCCTTCACCTTGTCCACCACGCCCGCGCCCTCCTCTTTGGCTTCGTATGCCTTGTTCTGTGCAGTTCCCGAAGCCGATCGCGCGGTGTCCTTGGCATTCTCGGTCGCTCTTCCCGCGGACTCCTTCGTTTGGCCGGTCACGTCGCTGGACACTTCCTTCGCCTTGTCCGCCACGTTGCTGGCCGTCTCCTTGGCATTCTCTTTCAGCTCTCCGGCCTTGTCCGACATGCTGCCGGCCACGTCCTTCGCCTTGTCAGCCGCGCTGCTGGCCGCATCCTTGGCATTCTCCTTCAGCTCTCCGGCCTTGTCGCTGGCCTGGTCGGTCTTCTCCTGGGCGTACTCCTTGCTCTTCTGGGCCGCATCCCCTGCCTCCACCTTGGCTCTATCGAAGGTCTGCGTCCCATCGGCGAAGAGCCGTCGCAGAATGCTCTGGGCAGGGGCGGTCCCCAACGCCGGAGCAGTTGCCCGGGCTGCGGTCGCGGGCCCTGCGAAATGCTGCCCCGCCACCTGAAACCAGAAACCGTCGCCTCGTTAGCTCTGTTACGCAAGCCAGCATTCAGGCTTCGCTGTGCACGACCTAACCTAGACGTACGGTTTTCAAGCTGATGCTCGGTCTTAAACTGATCAGACTGGATTACTAGAATCCACCTCTTCCGCGCACGCACCTACACACAAGCGCCCATCTCTGCCACACACTACTGCCCCGAAGCCAGCTGATGCTAAACTCCTGCGACAAAGAATGACCGCTGGTACCAACACGCACGCCCCCGACTTCATGACCAAAGCCGGCTGTAGCACCCTCGATTATCGTGAGTCCACCCGACCCGACCCGACTGACCCTTGGCACCACAATTTCTCTCAAATATCAATGCGGCCGGACAACACAGACAGACGCAGGGCAAAAAGCACTTCACGCCGCACAACCAACGATAGCCAATAGCAGACAGCACAATCTCTACGACCACCCACTTGCAGACCGTCCCTCCGGGCCCTAGTCGTTGTTCGTGCGGACGGACGTTTCACCAGCCATTGCATTCGCAGCGGGTTTCGGCGAAATACGCCGACCGCATATTCACGTGATGCATCCAGCAAACCACCTACCACCCCACTCCATGTTGTGTACCTGTGCCACTGCGCTCCTGTGAAGAAGTCTCAACAGGCTGGTTCCCCTCGTGGCTGCCATGGCGCTCCGATGGATTGATCCGAAACTCGCCTCGACACTTTTGGGCTCCCCCAAAAACTCTGCACGGGCGGCCTCGTGAGCTGAGCACCGAAACACTGGAATACGAGTCTAAACTGATCAAGAGCTAGAGAGCGCGAGAATGTCCGATGAGGCGTGCTAAGAAACCGATTGGCGCTGCACGAATTCGAGATGATAAGTCAGTTGCGAGACGGCCCTGGAGGTTGTTGGCGAGAGCGAGAATTTGAGGTCAAGCAGTTGCCCATGGGGAGGGGGGGCTGTGAACGAGGTGGAAGAGCGACACACCAAGAAAGACAAGTGTCACCCATGAGAGCCACCGCGACACGTGTGCTGATCCCACGTGTCAGCACAGCGCCAGTCCGAGGGGGCTCTTCCTCGCGTACCGCTCCATACCATGGTGCGTCTGAACTTGGGTTTAGGGTGAGGTCGAGCTTAACGTGGCGCCCGGCCTAGCTCCTGCACTTCCAAATTCGGGGACTATTTCCGTCAGAATTGTGAGTGGGTAAGATCGCGGCGAAGGGTTGTGGACACGTGTTGGGGTCCTCTCTCGGAACACCCCGTTCTGAACGATCTGCTCTTCGCTTCATCGCGGAGGCAGATGTCCAGTCATGCTGGGGGGATGTCAAATTGAAGAAGTTCGACGGACGCAGAGCTGATGCACCTGAAGATTCAAGTGATTCTCCGGATTACAAAGTTTTCTGTGATCGGACGTGATCCGATTCAGGCAACTGAAGGAGAAGCTG